ACAAATGAAATTGTTAATTTAAATAGATTTAAACCAAGTGAAGAATGTGTATTATTTAGGAACGGAAAAAGAGTTTTTGTGTATAAAAGATGGAATTTTGAATATTTCGAAACGTTTAATAAATGCTTCATATTATTACGTTCGTGTTTTGCTTTATTATTAACATACTTTATATGTTTCAAATTCTTACTACAGTTTATTCTTTGCAAGTTGAAATATCTTTATAGGAAAGAAGGATATGTTTTTATTTCGGACTTATACATAAGTGGTACTTAATAACAGATTAGAACAAAAGATTTACAGCATTTGTTGGATGGCAGCACAAACGAGTCAATATTTTTAATGGGAATATTTTTTCTACTCTCTCTATAGTACCTTTTAAGTAATTTATTCAGTTAACTATGAACAGCTGAATCAAAATGTTGAATCCTGTATTAAGTAATTAGATCAAACTTAATTAATTGGTATTTGATAGCGCATAAAAATACTTATTATATGCTTATTTGTTTAAAGCCAAACTCAGTAATATGATAGTGTCTAGCTCAAGATCAAACTTAAACAATTGGTATTGGATGGTGCATAAAATTATTTATTGTATAATTACTAGTTCTCAGTCAAACCTAGTAATCTAATATTGCTTAGCTCAATATCAAACTTAATGAACTGATGTTTTATGTTGCATAAAAATATTTATTTTACACTTACTATTTCAAAGTCAAACCCACTAATTTCTAACTCTTTACTACAAAACCAGACATGCTGATCTGGTGCTTGATGGTGTAGAAAAGTAATTTGGAACTGCTAAGCTCAAGATCAAAGTTAATGAATTGGTATTGGATGGTGCATACAGATATCTAATTTATATTTATTAGTTTTTGTCAAAGTCAGTAATCTCATACTATAGCTCAAGATTAAACTAAATAAAATGGTATTTGATGTTTATTTAAAAATATTTATTTTATGCTTACTAGTTCAAAGTAAAATTAAGTAATTTGATATTATGTAGCTTAAGGTGTTAAGATGAATATAAATGAAATGGTACATGATGGTATATAAAAGGAACATTTTGTTCTTTACTTACTGTTTCAAGATCACATGTCATCATATACTGTTACGAAGAAAACACTTAAACTGATTAAAGAATGTTACGAATACTTGATTATAGTATAGAGATTTCGGACAACATTTTATTTTACTGCCTCCAATGGCTCAGCGGTAAGCCTAAAGGCTTATAATGCTAAAAACCGAGTTTCGATACCTATAATGGACACAATACAGAAAGCCCATTGCGTAGCTTTGTGCTTAATAATAAAACATATTTTAGCTATTTTATAAAGTTCAGTAAACATCCTTTCAGTGAAAAATATTTTTCGTAAAAATACTATTTTTTTAGGTTTTGGTAACTTCTTAATATTTTTGCATTGCTTTTTAAAACAAAGCCACACTATGCATTAATGTCGCAGCTCACAAACTTCAATAATTAACAGTTAAAGTGAGCAAAACTACTAAGAAATATAACGTCTTTGTCTCAGAAATATTGCCAGTATTTTATTCTTCAACTGAAGAAGTTTGGTTCTTTTAGTTTTAGAACGCTGTATTTACTTGATCATTTTGCAACTGTAAATATAAATATTTTGTGTTAAATACAAGTTTTACTTCATTCTTTAGTAGAATTTTGTATTTTGATTGAACGTTTTACCACTTTTAGTACCATAAGTGCATGATTTTGAGGATGCAAGTGAGAAAAAGAAACGTACTTATATTT